TTATGAATGGATTGATTCAAGTTCTTTTTATCCCGGGTAACTTCATGTCTTAAGCCAAAGAAGGGAGTCATGATGAGTGTCAGAGATGAAACAGAGGTTCTGGGGCGGAGGGTAGGGGAGGCACCTGGGAGGCCCTGTTCCTCAGGTGATCTTCTGATTGGTGTAGACTTTTGACCCCAGGCAGGCATTTACATGTCCAATAGCCACCATCAGAGGTCAGTTCCCAGAGGCAGGAGGCCTGTCACTTGTCGCCGGTCACCAGGCCCAAGCTAGACAAGAAAAGTTTTTCTATTCCACTAGAGTGGATCTTGCTGGAAGACCATGTGTCTGGGATCCAGAAAGGTGGGGAGAGGTAGAGGTCTCAGATCCTGGGGACGGATGGAGCTGGCCCCGGGGGTAAGAATGCAAGGCCAGGAGTGAGCAGGCATTCAGGACTCCTGTCGAGGAGAGGGTGGTCAGGACAGGAGGAGGGGCTGCCTCATGGACGATGAGGTCCATCATCCTAGCAGAGGCTGTTGTACCAGCCGCTGGTGAGGGTATGGCAGTGGTGTTACCAGGACCCTGCTATGTCAGCGTTCAACTAAATGTCCCAGCAGGCCAACCACCCCTGCAGTAGTCCAGGGGCTCTGTCCGGTGTGTACCAGAATACTGGGGGAGGGAGGACCCTGAGAAGCGTGGCAGCACAGCACAGATCCGCCATGTGGCCATTAGGCCATGCCTTCTGACCCAGGGCACGTGCAGAGGTCCACAGACTCTAGGACCAGCTAGTTAGAGTTCCTAGGGGGCCGCACAGCCCACAGTCTGTGTGTTTTGTGCATCTGGAACTAAGGTGTTCCGCCCAAAGTGTTGGAGGTGGGCCTCAGGCAACAAATACCCTGCTTTCTCACAGCCTTTCCTTCCTTGGAGCTTGGCCTGGGCCCTCACCTAGTCAGGCACAGGCCTCCGTCCCCCACACTCACCTGTCCTTCCTGAAAGCCAGCCACTGGGCTCCACGCAGGAGTGTCACAGTCACACCCAATCTCAGACCTGGGGCAGTCGCTGGAAGCTCAGAAGGGAGAAGACAAGACAATGAAAGTTTCCCATTCAAGGAGGCATCCAGCTATTAGTTCTGCCAGCAAACATGCCAGCCAGAGAGCTAAACTGCCAGCAACAGATGTTTGGATGAAACTTTGGAGGCCATTAAGAGCAGGCGCTGCAAAGCAATTGTAGCGAGAAGATATTAAATGAATCCATCATGTCTCTAAAATGAGTGTCCTTACCACAGACCTGACTCTTGCTGTTCCCCAGCCCTTCCCAGGGTAGCCCGGGATGCACCTGGGATGGGCGCCGCAGCCTGCAATGGTCCCTGCATCTGAGGGGCTCCTCCCGGGTCACCAGGCCCCTTTGGAACTGTCAAGCAAGTTTAGCCCCCAGTGTCAGCTTGTGTTTGGGGAGGACGGTTTTATATATTCCCGTTGGCACAGGAAGCCTAGTACACTTGCAGAACCCGAGGGAAAGGCAGGCAGAGAGAGAGAGGCTCGAGGTTCTGCTGAGGCCCAGGGTATCAGCAGGACACGTCTGTCCAGCAGCCAGGCAGGGACCCATGGGCTTTTCCAAAACACCTAACCAGGCCCCAGACAGTGCTACTCCCTGGCGCTGGGCTCTCTTTCCGGAATCTGGGGTGAACAGACCTGTTGGGTTGATTTAGTAGCAAGTGGTAGCCTTGTTTTCTGGACGAATCCTGGGATTCTACTCCGTGGCCCATCAAACCAAGCTCCAGTGTGCACGCCGGGGGCGGGGAGGGGAGCTTTCTCCTTGGTCCCTTCCGCAACTGTGAGGGCTGAGGGTTAAGAACCTCTCAACCCATTTGGGGGTGCTGCTCCTCCATACTCCTGTATCCCAATGCTCTGGACCTCGTTATTCCACCACCCTCCCAAGGGAGGGAGGTACTCTTTCCATTACACGCATCAGGAGACTGAGGCCAGAGACATGCCATGAGTCTCGAGAGGCAAGAGGGCTCCCACCCGCAGGACTCCACGGCTCTGCAGCTAGACTCCATCAACTTCCCTCCTGCCTGGGGGCCCCGAGGGCCTGGCAGTGTCAGCTTCCTAGGCTCACACTTCCAGATGCGCGGAGGTTCGGAGGTTTGCACCTCCCTCTTGGTCCCATCAGCAGAGAGAGATGGGTGGTCCCATCGGGGTGAGGAGCAGGAAGAAGCAGGTGCTGGGCAGCCTGGAGGAGAGTGGGAGGAAGGGATTTTCCCCCAAGAGTGCCTCTCTCCCAGGCCTCGGGCTCCAGGGTGAGTGGGCGGGGACCCCTCTGGGAGCCCCCGCTCCTCAGGGCTCCTCCTGCCAAGCATCCAGCACACGTGCCCCCACCTCCCTGGCAGGTCCTGCCTGAGGGCCTGAGGCGGCTGGGGCGCTGGGTCTGTGAAGGGCAGACGTGGGATGCAGGAACTTCAGGCAGGGTGCTGGCTTGTGGCCAGGAAAGCCTAGCACCTGATTCCTAGCAGGGAACTCAGTGACAGAGTGGGGGAACCTGAGGACCCCTCTGCCCCTCACACCCAGTGCCATGTGGGGGTCCTCATATGTTACTCAGAAATAGGGAGGGAGAGTCCCCCTACCCCTACCCCCAGCCCTCTTGTGTCTCATGTGACAGCCTTCCTGGGCAGTGATTTTTTTAAAATACAAATGCCTTATATTCAGGTCTGAGTTGGTCTCTCCCCACTGCCTGTTCACACATTCCACGGCGCCAGCAGCCTCTAAGCAGCAGAATTGAGAGAACCAGCTTTGGGGTCAGATACACTTCCATTCAAATTGCAGTTCCTCCACTCAGTAACTGGCTTACTCAGTCTTTCTGGGCTGGATAACAAAAGACTGTGGGCTGGTGGTTTATAAACAACAGAAATTTATTTCTCACAGTTCTGGAAGCTGAGAAGCCCAAGAGCAAGGTGCTGGCAGATCTGGTGTCTGGTGAGGGCCTGCTTCCAGGTTCAGAGGTGGCTGTCTTTTTGCTCTAATCTCACATGATGGAAAGGGCCCGGGATCTCTCTGGGGGCCTCTTTCATAAAGGCATGAATCCCGTTCATGAGGGCTCTGCTTTTGTGACTTAATCACCTGCCAACAACCCCACCTCCTAATACCCTCGTATTGGTGATTAGGTTTCAACAAATGAATCTTGGGGGGGACATAGGTTTCAACAGATGAATCTTGGGGGGACACAAACATTCAGTCTATAGCAGTAATTAGGAGATCTTCAGCTGTTCTTTAACCACTCCGAGCCTCAGTTTCCTCATTCGTCAAATGTGAATAATAATTGTACAGGACTTCCATCCCAGGGTTGTTGTGAAGACTAAGGGAGGTAGCACAGGTACATAGCTTTGTACCGGGCCTGGTCCATGGGAAGCATGCCATCACTGGCAGCCATTATTATTTCTATTATTAGGGGAGGGCGGAGTCGCCCAGAGGAAGGAGGCTGGAAGGAGTAAAAGAGCTTGTTCGTCGCCTTCCTCATCCCCAGGAAGCTTTTCAAGTCATGGAGCAGAAAGATGCAGGGAAGGGATAATGTGTTTGTCTTTCTAAACCACAAGCTGATCCCTATCTTTCCTCTTTGGCCCTAGCCCGAGTGCTCAGCCCTGGCTGTTGGCGCTCAGATGTTACAACAGGCCCCGACAGCCACAGGCTGAGGGAGAACCAGGAAGTACCTGCCCCACCCGACGTGCCCGCCTTGCTGCCCTCCCAGACCATACTGGCCTGCCAATACCTCTGAGATGGCACCACTCCAAGAGCCATGTCCCGTGGTGAAATGCCTGTTTTGGGTGTCTCTTTCAGAGCTCCTACCCAATTTGTAGAATGGGAGTGCCTGGACAATTCCTTCAACCAGAAGGTCTGTGCCAGCAGCCAAGGCTCCTCAAAGGAGGATGTGCCTGGAGCCCCCTGTGCTCAGCATGGCAACCTGGGAACAAGGCAGAGGGTGGCACGTGGACGCTGCAGGAGACACTGTCCCCAGACTGCTCCTGATGCTTCCCGTGCTGTTGTTCTGCCCTTTCCTCCTGGGCAGGGCTGAGCTGGGCATGGATCAGAGAAGAATAGAGAAGGGGAAGAGTCACACACAGGAATGAATCACTCAGGACCTACCCTGAATGGACGATTCAGTGCGGATCCCCAGCTGTCTCCATGTGTGGGGAGGGGGGTGGCAATGGGGGGGGGCGTGCAACCCAGTGCAGCTGAACTTCACGTAGATGAGACTGGAAGTGCAAAAAACTGGTGTTGTCATGGACCTGAGGGATTCCCTAGTGTAGTCTTGTATCCAGTTCTCTGGCCTACCTGACTGACAGTTATTCTTGAATACCTCCAGTCATGGGGGACTCATTACCTCCTTGGTCAGTCTAACTTGACCCTCTGCCTGTCTCAAGGCCCCAAACCCACTGTAGCTCCCAAGGGGTAGGAGGAACCCAGGGTTTCCTAGAGTTACTCTCTATAGGGTGAGGATGGGACTTGGCTAGTAGCCATTCTAGGGCACCTAAGCCTGGATTCAAACCAAATTAAATACCAGCTCATTTCTGGTAATATTCTAACATTCATACTTCATTGTAGTTCTGTTCAAAAGTACTGCTTGGAGCTGTGATTTGGGTATATAAGGCATTTGCAGTAAAAGAAAATAATTTGGCCGGGCGCGGTGGCTCAAGCCTGTAATCCCAGCACTTCGGGAGGCCGAGACCGGCGGATCACGAGGTCAGGAGGTCAGGAGATTGAGACCATCCTGGCTAACACAGTGAAACCCCGTCTCTACTAAAAAAACGCAAAAATCTACCTGGGCGAGGTGGCGGGCGCCTGTAGTCCCAGCTACTCGGGAAGCTAAGGCAGGAGAATGGTGTAAACCCGGGAGGCGGAGCTTGCAGTGAGCTGAGATCAGCCACTGCACTCCAGCCTGGGTGACAGAGCAAGACTCCATCTCAAAAAAAAAATAATAATAATTTGCATGTGCATTCATGAATCAGTAAAAATAATTTAGGGTGTCAATTCTAGGTTAGACAATATAATGCATTTCATTCTAGCTTTGGTTCATGGTTCCTTTCAAATCCTCAGCAACCAATCTCTCCCACCTCCACGCAGCACATTCTGCTTCTGCAGCCAGCATTCGGCCAGTGCACCCATGTCCTTGGTAACTCATCTGTGGGGGGAGCCATTCTTGTATCACCTGGTCCCCCTCCCACTGCCCCCTCATCCGAGGCCTAGCAGTCAGCTTCCTGGGTGACCACAGGAGGTCAGAGTTTGTCTAAGCAGGTCAGGCCTACAGTATTGTCCAGTCAGAGGAAAGAGAAAGAATCCGCGTGGGAAAGACACAAAGAGGAGGAGGAGAAGACGACGGAGTAAGGGGAGGAGAACAGAAACTAAATATAAATATAGTGTTGGGGATGTTGGGGATGGCAGCGAGGACCTATGGTTAGCTGGCTGGCTCCCACACCACTGTCCGCTCCCACACCACTGTCCCACGGCATACAGGGCCAGCATCTGCACCTGGCACCATGCTTTTCCAAGGAAAGCAGAGGGCATTGGGCTTGTGGTGCAGCCACACAGAGGACAGACCTGTTTGGGGCTGGCAGGTTCCCACGGGTTGCCTGAGCTCTATTTGGTGGGTGCCTTAGAGTAAACTGTGTGTAACCAATACAGCCTGTAATGCAAAAGATTGAGCCATGAGTAGCATTGATACGTCTAAAGAATCAGCGAACAAAAATAAGTGACCATAGTGACCTCAGTTAATCATTGAAGTCTGAGGTGCCCAACAATGATTTTTTAAATCCCTGCAACTGTCCTTGGTCCCCGCTCTGTGACACTGGCAGTCCCCCAGCCACCACTTGAGGGCAGCCATTTAGAGACTACATGTACTGCGTTTCCAAGCCAGAACCTCCTCAGCACTCAGCACTCAGCACTCAGCACTCAGAGAGAAGAGCACACATCTTCTCTCTGGGGGCCCAAGACAAGGAGAGCAAAGGTCTTCTCACTTCTTTATTTGGGGAAGAGACAGGTGATCCCTGTCCCTTCCCCCAATATAGAAAACACCCCAAAAGAAACATGGCACGGGGGCAGCCAGGAGTGAGCCCCTTGGAATGGACATTCTGATCTTAGGCAGGGGCTGCTGAGGACAAGCAGGGGATGCCGACTCTGGAACAAAATCACAGGCGGAGAGCTCCGGAACAGGCCCCAGCCGTCTGGAGTGCGGGTCTCCTGCCCTAGGACTCTCAGGCTAGAAAGTCCTCAGGACTCAGGACTGCGCAAGGTCTGACAAGGGAACTCGAATCCCTTAAATCCCACTTTCCTGCCTGCGCAAGGGGCTACCTCAGCACAGTCTTGGGGCCCTGTCCACATGGGACAGATCATCCAAGGTGACAGGTTTTCGGACTTCCGCGTGGGCTCTCCAGGATGTGTGGGTGGGCACACGCGGCCCCGCGACAAAGGAGAGTCGGCCCGCGGCTCTGGAGCGTGCATCTGCGATGCCAGTGAGCCAGGTGATTACACACAGCCGGCACCCAGCTGGTTCTCCGGGTCGGGTCTCCGCGAGGCGGCCACCGGGCCGTGGAGCCGCAGGCAGGTCCCCGCGGCAGTGGCCCCCCAGGGCCCGGAGGCGAAGGGCGGGCGGGAGCTGGGGTCAAGCAGGTGGAGAGTTAGGCAGCGGGGCGCCCCTCGGGCAGAGGGGCTCCTGGCCAACGCCCCAGAGACCCTCAGTAACTTCTCCCGCGCTCTGGGTTCGCCGCCGCGTCCTACCTGAGGCCACACCCCTGAAATCAAAACCGCGGCCAGGTGAAGCCGGCGCTGCACCAACGTGTAAGCGCGGCCCCTCCTCGGCGTTCCCGCGCCGAGGTCCCTCCCGCGGAGGGCGGGCCCGGCTCCCACGGCCTCTTCGAGCGTTCCTGGGCTTCCCGCTCCGCAGGTGGGTGCCCCGGCTGCCCTGGCGGGTCGCGGCGAGAGGACAGGCCTCCCAACACGCGCGGCCCCCTTCCTGGGTGCCCATGCCCCGAAGTTCGGGACCAGCCGGCGCCAGGCGAGGGGCCTTGGGCGTAAGCATCTGGAGCTCCGCGCCCCTGGAGCGGGACCTCCCTCCGCGGGTGCCCGCCCGGCGCGGGGCATTCGCGTCCCCGAGAGGGCGCAGCAGTGGGGCCTGCGACCCGGGTGGCCGCGCCGGGTCGGAGTGCGGCGGGAGAGGGGCCGCCCCGGAAGCGGTGCTGCGCCCAACGTCCCCTTCTCCCCGTGAGCCCCGCAAGGAGGCTGCCGCCTCTTGCACCTGAGCCAGGAGTTCAGTCGGGAGGCGGGCGCGGGGCGGTTCCCAACGCCTGGACGCCAGCCAGTCGCAACACCCGCGGGAACACTTGCTACATTGGCCATAATGCATTTCTGATCTGTTTCCGCGCAGGCCTGCGGAGGACTGGCCCAGGAAGGTCCCAGGTCTTCCCTCGCCTCAGCGCCTAAGAGAGCGGTCCAGAGCGGGTGAGGAGTCTCGAGGAACAGGCGGAAGGCGCCGGAAGGTGAGTGAGCGAGCGGCCCCCGGCCCTAGAGCCTTCTGCACCCATTTTGAAGAGCAGGCAGGGAGGGACGGTGGGAAGGCAGGTGGCCCTCCTGGGCTGGCTCCTTCCTGGTACTGCTAGGCAGCGGAGGTGGTCCCTTCCAAGTGCCATCTCTCGATCCTTAGTGGGTGCATGTTAAGTCACTTCCACCACTTTGCCCCATGGCCCAACGGTAGACTGGTAGACGTCAAGGCCTCAAATGGCCCGCCCTGCCCCCGGGCCCATCTTCAGGTCTGATTGCCATCAGGTCTGATGCCAGTCCTGGGTAAGGGTGTCACCGCGGCAGAGTGCAGGGAATTCATGCTGGGGAAGAGGTTCCCAAACAGGAAGGGTGGTGGCAGGCCCAGTGGCTGTGCAGGGCAGGGTGGGAGGCAGCCGCGGGAGACTCCTGCAGGAGTCACAGGTGAAGCTGCGGCTCCACACATCCCAGCCCACTGCTCATTCCCCAAGTCTCCAGACCTGCTCAGGCGGCCTCCGATCTGGAGTGCAGGCGCTGCTAGGAGCACTGGAGGCTAAGCCATGAAGAGCTCCCAGGGTTGCATTTTCTGTATCTTGCCCCATTCTGGTGTTTTTGTTTTTGTTTTTGTTTGGGGGGAGCGGGGGCTTTTCTGACTCATTTTTCTGGGTGAAGGGGGCAGAGGGGCTCAGGTCTGTATCCATGCTCATTTTTCGTGGCTGGCGTGGCATAGGTTGCCACACTGGGTAAAAAAACGCCTGATTCCATGCAAGGTTAAGAGTCAGCCTGCAATGCCATGAATTCTACATGGTGTATAGGACAGTGGCCAAAGACACATTTGGAACCACAGAGAGTGGGGTTTGAATCCATCCAGACTTTGCCTTTGACTCGATAGACAAGTTGCTTCACTTCTCTACGAACTTATAAATGGCCTCATCTGTAAAATGGGAATGCGAATGCCTTCCTCATAAGGCGGTTGTGGGGAGTAACTGCCTCATCAGCCTCCGGCTGCTATGTTGGGAAGGGCTAAATCACTCTGAGTTCTCCCATCCTGGAGAGCTTTGAGGGCAGTCTGGCTGTTCCGCAAGCTATTGTCAGAGGGTATTAGAGCAAAGCAATAGGAATAAAGTAAAGGTAGGGGTCCTTGGAGGGCGAGCAGTGAGAGACCCTAATTCAGGGTCTCTGGACCTTGTGGTGACCAAGGAAAGGGGCCATTTCTGGAAGAGGATCTGGCTTGGGCATCAGAAACAGCAGCATCCCCTGCATGTCACACATGTTCATGTGTTCCTGGGTGACCCTGGAACCTCAACTGTTGCCTGGGACAAAGGGAGCCTCTGGCTTGAGCTTCCAGTCCCATCTCTGCTCTGCATACCTGTGTGATCCAGGGCAGGTCATTTGACTTCTCTGGGCACTGGGCATTGTGGATGAGCCTGGAGTTTGGAGTCGGAGAGATCTGACTTTGAATCCCAGCCCCACACTTAATGTCTTGGACAGTTACTTCTCTCTGAGGCTCAGTTTCTTCATCTGTAAAACAGAGCTTGCAGTAGCTACAATTAGCCATTAAATACACTAATAAAAAGCACCTAGCACAGTCTCTCCTAGTGGGCACTTTATAGGCATACCTTTCTTTTCTTACCTCCTCCTCCTGTCTCTAGCTCCCTGCTTTCTTTAAAATGGGCCCAGCAGGTTCAGCCCAACTCACAGTGGTGTTGTGCGTATAAGGAGGTGAAGTAGAGGTCTGGAAAGTTAAGGGCTATAGGAAAAAAAGGCAATCTTGTGATTAGGGATGCCAGAGGTTCCTTCTACCTAGGCATTGAGGACCCTATGCTGAGGACTCAGACCTTTGTGTGCAGAGGCTGTTGAGAATCTGGGGTAGTGAGAAGGTTCCTGGCTTGCAGCCCTCCCAGGAAGCCATTCGTCAGGTCTTGCCTTAGAAATAACCGCACGCCCAGGAAAGCCCAGTGCTGTGCAGCAGGAGGGGATAGGCAAGGGTTGGGATTCGAGGTACAGTAAACGGAGGTCAGAGGGCTGGTGTGGCCTGAGCTGCTGCTGGACCGCAGCACTGTCTGTGCAGGCTGAAGCTGGGCCCAGGAGGAGGGCCTGAGTCAATATTGACCTTCCTTGGCTGGCCGGCCTGCTCTTCAGCCGCTCATTCAGCTGGAGTGTTGACACAAGTGACTGAACGAGCTGTATTATTGTATTCTTTTAAACAGCAGCCCATTATCTCTCCTCTGGGGATTCACTGGGGCCAGTGGTATGGGAATGGTGACAAAGGCAGGCAGCCCAAACATTTGGACAGGTTACATGTCATGCTCTCTGCCCTGGCCCATGCTGCATCTCTCTGGGTCCCTCAAGTGGGACAGCAGAGCTTCAGGGTCCTGCACATCCTCCCAGGGCCTCTCCGCACTTCAGCACAGTGACCCTGGGCAGGTTGCCTGAAGCTTGTGGGCATCCACATGAGGGCCACGACCTGCGTCTAGCACCCTCCTCCCCTGCAGGTGACAGCTGAGCAGAAAAGCAGATGAAATGTCCTTCCTCCGTGTATTTTGGGGGCCAGGATAGGGTGCTGGGGTAACGCCTCTCCTGACTCTCGAGTCACGTGAAGAGGAGCAGATGGCAGACTCGGACCCCAGTGGAGGCTGAGGTGAGACAGAGTTCAGCTCCACATAAGGATCAGCGAGGGGACAGAGGGGACAGAAGGCAGGGGCTGCAGGGGGAACTTTTCATCGCTGAATGAGTTCTAGCAGAGGGCGGGCAGCCTCCTGTTGGGAATACCAGAGGGGCTGAAATTTGGGCCGAGGGGAAGGTCAGACCCCGTCAGGAGCCCCACAGATCTTGCATTACCATCTCTTCTGGCTGCAGAAGGTTGGCCTAGAGCACCATCTGTTTGGAAGAAGCAAACAACCGCACAGGAGTGAGGATTTCCTCTCGTTTACCATGGTCCCCAGAGCCTGGAGTAGAGCAGGCCCATAACAGATGCTGTTTGAATAAAGGAATAGTATGATTTCCCAGCTGGGCACGGTGGTGTGCCCCTCTAGTCCTAACTACTCAAGCAACTGAGGTGGGAGGGTGGGTTGAGGCCAGAAGTTCGAGGCTGCAGTAAGCTCTGATCGCGCTACTGCATTTCAGCCTGGGCGACTGAGCGAGACTCTGTCTCTAAAAAAAAAAAATTTTTTTTTTAAACAAACTTCTGAAAGTAAAGTTTGAGAAAAATCCTTCTGGCCAATGAGAATAGTCCAGTGAAAGACTGTCTTCTGTTCACAGTAATTCTCAGCCAAGGGGTTGGGTGAGGCCTGTCACCTGTCAGAATGTGTGTGGGACGACAGTTCCCAAAGGGGGTTACGAAGAGGTCGAGAAACGCTGCTGCAGGTCTCAGGGCGTCAGGGCCCAGCCCTGGAGGTGACAGGGTCCTCTGGAGGCCACTCAGAGAAGATGGTGATGGTAGTCGGGTACTTGCCTAAGTTTTGTAGCACTCAGGGGGCTCACCTCTGTCTTGGGGCTGTGATTCTAGGATAGGCCCTTCCCCAAAGTGTCTTGGGTGGGCCTGAGAATAAAAGAGGGTGGTGGTAGGAGCAGATGGCCACTGCAGCCAAGTTCACATCCGGTTCTGGGTCAGACTCGTGGCTGCCCCTTCTTTGCCTGTTGGCTTGAACAAGTCACTTCGTCTCTCCTTCTCTGCATCATGGAGACAGTACTAGTGCTACCTCACAGGCTTGTGGCGAGGAGATCACATGTGTGAAATGCTCAGCCCAGAGCCTGCTGCTTACAACTTACGCTAGGCGTTTCCTGAGTGACGACCATGAGAAGTACCCAAAGTTCCTCCGTGAGCAGGAACAGATGCTCCCCCTCACTGTGCCTGGAGAAGCTGGCAGAGGTGAATTAATCCATCCCTTGTCACCTACAAAAATGCCGAGGGCTACAGAAGGCAAGTAGGCCAAGGTCACAGGCTGGAACTTAGGAACACCAAGCCCAAGGTCCATGCTGAACCGGCGCTCGGCCTTGTGGCTCAGGACTTGAGCCCTGATAAGCCTTGAGCCCTCGCTGTGAGAAAGCCGGGGCATGACACCCCCCTCTCACTCCCTGGCACCTTCAGCAACCCAGGAGCTGGCCCACTAGGCAGCAGCCTCCTCTCTTCCCAGTCACCCGGAAATGGCAGGGAATTCCACCAGCTTCATTTCTAACAGCTTCCCGGCAATCCCAGCACTTACACAGCCAACCCAATGCTGACCCCTCCAGGTGGCTGCAAACCCCTTTAGACTCACTTTTTGGAAGCCAGCTTCCCAGCCTCAGCACGTTCTTGGGAATCCCTTCGGTGGGCTGTGTCCCTTCCTTGAAAGGGACTCAATATGTGCAAACAGCCCAAACTGACCCTAGGCCAGGTCTGGAGGGCCAGGTGGGTGACCACGTGGGATACCACCACTTCTGGTGAAAAGTGGGGTGACGGGTTAGGAGGACAGCTGAGGTGGGCTCACAACGGCCCCAAAGGCAGTTCCCAAAGAGGAGTTTTGGAAATACCAGAGCATGTTTGAAACGGGCAGGTACATTCCCAAGGGGTCTGCCTCGCACAGCGACGCTCATTTGAATGCCCATGCTCTGGCTTGAGGTTTAAAGGCAGACTCATCCTCTGTAGTGCCACCCTGCATTTGTGGGGCCCTGATGGCTCTGGTGGCCCTGGCATCCCAGGGCCCGGCACAGGGATGTCTCCTCTCCAGGGAGGAGACGTTGTTGGGGAGGGTTGCCCACCCACAGTGCAGCTGCTTTTCTCAGCTGTGGACACTAGACCAGCCAGGCCTCAGTGCCGTGCTCTGGGAATCCCCTTGTCTCCTCGGAACAGCAGTGTCTGCCACAAAACTTACTGCACTTCAAGCCAAGGCTGCAGGTTGCCTTGGGCTTGGTGTTCCTAAGTTCCGGCGTCAGGCTGAGCCCCTGCAGAGGGGTTGTGGGCGCACCCTGTGCTGGAGAGAACACACGCCTGCTGTCTCTGTAGCTTTTCCCAGATGCCAGC